AGTATATCTATCAGGTACCTGATATATGTATGATATATATATTAGTACCCGATATGTATATGATATGTGTATTATTTGTGTATGATTTTCTACATTTTGAGTACCCAATATGTGTAAGATATGTATAGGATAAATCATTTTTTTACCAGTGGCTTTGGAGTTTATTTTATTTTTTTTTAATATGAACGGTTACTAACTGTTCTTTTTTCTTTCTTTTTTTTAGGTTCAGCCAGTGTTCAGCCATTCAGGTGACTTCTAAAGAATGGAAAAAACTAAGTTTCATAAATTCAGAACTTGGTTTATTTTTTTTTAATATTATGAACGGTTATTAACCATTCTTTTTCTTTTATTTTTTATAGGTTCAGTATTTTAGGTAGGGCTTCTGAGTTCCAAAGAACAAAAAAAAATAAGATTCGTAAGTATATACGAATCTTGATTTTAATTTTTTTTGTTTTTTTAATTTTATTAATGAACAGTTATTAACAACCATTCCTTTCTTTATTTTTAGGTTTGGGTGGGCTTCCAAAGAATGAAAATCCAAAGATAAAGATTCGTAAGTACGAATTTTTACTTTATAATTTTTTTTTAATTTTATTAATGAATGGTTACTAATAACCATTCTTTTTTTTTTTATAGGTTCAGGTGAACTTTCAAAGAATGGGAAAAGGAGAACCTTTAAGATTTGTAAGTAATATACTTACGAATCTTTTTTTTAATGATATAGAACGATTACTAACTGTTCCTTTGATTTTTTTTTATAGGTTCAGGTGGATTTCTGTCTTTCCAAGGAATGGAAAAAACTAAAGATTTGGTATGAATCTTTATTTTTTTATTTTTGTTTATTATTACGAAGAGTTTCTAACAGTTCTTTTTCTTTTTTTTTAGGTCAGTGTTTTTTGAAGAATGGAAAAAACCAAGATTTATAAGTACGAATCTTGGTTTTATTTTTATTTTTTTTTATAATATTAACGAACAGTTACTAATAACTGTTCTTATTTTATTTTTTAGTTTTAGTGGGCTTTCGAAGAACAACGGAAAACCAAGATTCATAAGTAAGTATGAATCTTGGTTTTTTTTTTTATTTTTTATTTTTATTTTTTATTACTACGAACGGTTTACTAATAACTGTTCTTTTCTTTTTGTAGGTTTCAGGATCTTTAGAAAAAGTGGAACCAAGATTCATAAGTACAAATCTTGGTTTATTTTTTATTTTTTTTTAATATTATTATGAATGGTTATTAATAACCGCTCTTTTTTTTTCTTTTTATAGGTTTGGTGTCTCAGATGGATTCTGATAAACAGAAAAAACCAAAGATTTATAAGTAAAATCTTGGGGTTTTTTGCTTTTTTTTTAATATTATGAAATGGTTACTAATCGTTCTTTTCTTTTTTTTATAGTTTTGGTGGGTTTCCAAAAGATCAAGATTCGTAACACAGATCAAAAAGTGAAAAATCAGGCATCAATCAGTCACTAATCGGTCACCAATCAGGTATCTGATTGGTGACCGATTGGTAACTGATTTTTCACTTTTCGACCTGTGTAAGTATATACGAATACATGAATTATGTGATTGTGAAATTGTAAATTAGCAATACTTATTTGTAATATCACTAATATGTATTTATAAATAAAGTTGTAATTTTATTGCGAATATCAAATAAAATGAGTTGTGGCTGAATATTAGTAAATAAATTTAGTACAAATTTGCAATATAAATTAAATAACATTCAGAAAATTATTCACCAAAATTTGCTATTTGAAATTGTTTTAAATGTTAACTGAATTTTGGCTGAAATTTCAAGCTGAACTTTAGGCAAATGGCAGCAAATTGCAGCCAAAAAATCTGCTAAAGTTCGATCAGCATTAGACCATAAATCAGCCTAAAATTGGCTGGCTGAATTTTGGCCGATTTGGACTATTTTGACCAGTGATAGTTTTGTAATTCCACCAAAACTTTGAGTTAAAGGCCCGTTCAAGTCTTTAAAGAATGACCAAGAAGTCTAAAACAAAAATAAAAGCACTCTACAATCATTTAAGTAAGAAAAACCCAAGTTTTTCCTTCAGCAATTTCTACTGGAAAAATGGCCAAGTGATTAGCAGATAAGAAATGTAGTCGATTTTCCCTCAATTTTAAAATAATTTAATATGAAATTTAATCAATTTTAATTATTAAAACTTAACTAATTTTAACCAATTTTAAATATATCGTTAAAATTTAACTAATTTTAAATATTATTAAATTTAACTAATTTTATATATAAAATTTTATTAATCAATTAATTAAAAAATATTATTAATAAAAATAGTAGTATATATATTATATAATATCAGTTTAATATAAAACTTTACTTTCCATTCTTATATAAATAAAGTAATTAATTTTTATTATAAAATTTTTTCTTATATAATTTATTAAATATAATAAGCAAATAATATTAAAATAAAAAATTTTTATTATATAAATTAATTAATATATTATAACTCATATAGTAGCATTTAAATTAGTTTAATTTAAATAAATAAATATATAAATAATTATTATAATTTTTAACAAATTTAATAATAATAAAAATATTAATAAATTAATTGGTAAATTAATTTGCAATTAGAAAAAAAAATAATTAAAAATTTAATTTATAAATTTTATTTGCAATATTATATAATTAATAAAGTTTTTATATAAACTTGTAGTTTACTAGTTTTATATATATTTTTTTTTATAATCGCAGTTAGTGATGTCTACTTAAACTCTTTTTGCCAAAAATTTTAGTTTCATCACCAACTAGTTTCAGTTTCATCATTGACTAAACTATATAATAGTAATTTTTAATTTTAATTTTAATTATATAAAATTATAATTCTTTTTAAAAAATATTATATTTTAATAAAAATTTATTTTTTTAAGTAATTATTATAATTAAAAATCCATGGAAATTTATGAAAAATCCATAGAAATATCATGGAATATTGAATTTCAGCATTTGTCTTTTAATTTTAAATGTCTAAACTATTTAGTTTCGTCAAATGACCAAATATTTTAGTTTTACTTAACATCTCTAATCGCAGTATATTTATAAATTTATTAGAATAATGTTAGTAATATACATAAGTAAAAGAACTAAATAACTATGCTAATATTATTAATTTGTAAACTATTCATTATTTCTCTATAGAACCCCACATGTGTACTATCAGGTGATTATGATGATTAGACAGGTAGGATGATATATAAAATGCATCATATTAGTGTATAACTTTGATATTTTTGTTTGGTAAATCACAAAACTTATGTAGTTTTATATTTAATTAATAATTAGCAAAATAATAATTAGAATTTAATTTTATAAATTCTATTTGCAATATTATTATAATTATTATATAATTAATAAAGTTTTTATATAAACTTGTAATTTGTATAAAATAGCAATACTAAGAATCTAAGATTTATTAAGTTTAATGCATTTGCAATTTAATTTGTATATTGATAAAAATCTTCTACTACCTTGACCTTTGAATTTATAAATCTTTATCTTCAAATTATTATTTTAATGTGAAATTTAATTTGGTTGAATTAATTTATTTATATTTTTAATTTTATTATATTTAATTAATTAATAATTAAAATTTTTGCTAATTTTAATTTATCTTAATTTTTATTTTTATTTTTATTTTTATTCTTATTACTTTTTATTTTTATTCTTATTACTTTTTATTTTTATTCTTATTACTTTTTATTTCTATTCTTATTACTTTTTCTTTTTATTCTATTACTTAGGTCTTACAACTTTCTAGTTTATCATAAACATTTATTAGTTAATTAGGATATTTTGGTAGTTTATATTTATAAATATATAAACTAATTACCATAAGTAAAATATTAATTCCTATAATGGTATCAAATCAATATTATAGTTTATTATCTAAAATAAAACAATTTTAAATTTTTAATTATATTTAATTTAGTTATATAGTTAACTTTAGTTTAATTAATATATATAAATTTTTTTAATTAATAATAACTTTAAATAATTTTAGTAGGAATTTGTAATATTGCTAATAAAGTTAGATATTTTGATTTCAAAAAGACTTCATACAAATTGGAATCACGTGACCTATAGTGCTGGGCAACGCTATTTGTAATTTTGGCCAGCATTATGCTTGTTGCAGATTCAACAAAATTACGGACGTCAAAGATATGAAGAGATGGGGAAGAGGCCCGATAGGTAAACCTAAATACCTAATGTTCGTAATCTAACCATTTTGAATTTTTGATAAGAACGAATAAATTCATTTACATTTACGTAATACGTTGTTGCATACTTGTATTAAATTCAGCGCGTGTTTGAAAAGAGAGAAAGATTTTTTTTTTTTTTTTATTCTTCATGAAAATTGTTGATTTAATACAAGAAAAAGAGGAAAAAATAATGCAATCATGAAAGCTATACAGAAAGTTAATATTTAACTAACCAAATTTTAAAAATTTACAAAAGTTCATCAAGATGATCTTAATTTTACCATTTTTACGTTGTCTTTTTTAACACGATTTTACTAAGCCAAATTGAAATAAGTTTCTTCACATTTTCATGATCCACCTCTATCAAAGAATCATTTATATCAGAATAATATAAATTATGTGTACCTTGACATGCTAAATGCCTATTCACTTCATCATAACTATTATAAGATTTTCTTCTAGATCCCCAACATAATTTACATTTGAATAATGGAGCACAAGTTTTACACTGTGTTAATAATTTAATACAACCTTCAATTGTTAAAAAAGATACACGTCTTCTATATAATTTCTTTTTTAAATAATCACGAGCTTCAACTCTTATACGTCGAATTACATCATCCACATCATTTAATTTTACTGGAGGTTTAATAAATGTTGGACACCATTCTAAATAATCTAATATTGGATCATTTATAAAGATTTCACCTTTTGTATTAGATAATTTTCTATAAGTAAGTAATTTAATTATTCTATATATAATTGATTTTCGACGTTGTTTTATTATTATATTTTCATAATATTCATTTTTTAATTTTTCCAATAAATTTGGCCAAGGACCAGTATCCATAAAAGGAGTATTTAATGTAGAATGAGCTTTTTTATATATAGGTTGAGATAAAATATGTTTCTTAATATAAATTTTTTTACCAGTATCGTCTTTAATACTTTCAAGTGTTTTAACTATTTGATCTAAATAATCTTTTTTCTTTTTAAGTAACCAATTTATTCTATTCTCATCATTTTTAGTACGTTTTAAAGAATCTTCAATCTTTTTATTTGTGATGGTTTGTTTATGAAAAATCCAATCACCAATTTCTTTGTCTGGAATCAAAAGACATTCTTGAAGTGTTGAAATTAATTCAGAATTCCAATATACACACTTTTTAATATTACGTGATGTAACTAAATATTCATAAGGTAAAATCAACGATAAATCAATCGCGTCCCTTGGCCACACGGGAATAGTATCAGCTCTAAATTAAGAGGATTGGATTTATATTATAAACAATAGAAGGGATGAGACTTACAAAAAATTGTTCACTTACATCGTAACTCTAGTTCTAAAGCATTTTGTACAAAGTCTAACCCGAAAAACCCAATAAATTTTTGGTATCTCCTGATCATTTTTACAAATTTGACATTTTTTTTCAATCAAGGATAATTTAATAAAAGTAATTTCATCCATTCCTTCGGGTGGATCCAACTTCATATGTTCATCAAGATTCAACCTCGAATAATTCCAAATATCCCTTGTAATATAAGAAGTTGTTGAATTTAACCAATAATGAAATTGTCTACATACGTAAGTTAAAGTATGTAAATCATAAGGTGGTAAATGATTACATATTTCAATGAATATGTCAAGAGGCATATGAATTAATGAAGTGCATGCCCCAGAAAAAGGAGCGGCGGTAGTGTTTTCATGTGTAGAAATTAGAGGGACGATTTCCATGTTTTATATGTATCGTATATATTATAGTATATTTGTTAAAAACCCTGCAGGAAAATAAACCAACAAGTACTTTTAATTATAAAGATAAAAAATTATTATTATTTATATTTTTTTTTAAGGAAATAAAAGAGAATAATTAAGAAAAACAATTATTTTGAAAAAAAAAAAAATAAAAATATTAAAAATAATTATTTGTATTGCCCATAGTTATACTCTTTATATAATAGTTTATTATTTTTTTTTTTTCGAGAGTATAATTTTCGAACCGGATAAAAACTCCGCGAACAATGATATTTTCATTTATACAAATTAATCTAATTCCGAAGATGCAATTGAAATAATAGATTTTTACACACGATAAATAAATGAAATAAATAAAGAAAATGGCATTTTGTACCACATGATCAACCTTTTTTTAAATAAAAAAATCAAAAAAAAAAAAATTGTAATTAAACTTTATATATCTTTTTAAATAAGGATTTTTTGAAGATCACGACTGTGCACAACGTTTATTTTTTATTGCAACGAGGGGATTTCCGATTCGCTTTCAAATTTTCTTTTTATAGATATTTCAATCAATAAAATTAGTTGCAGCATAAAGCAGATTTTTTTTAGGACCGAATATATATTTTTTGGATTGTATATATATTTTTTGGATTTAAAAGTACAAGAAGTAAAACAAGATTTTTATGTTGTGAAAGCGAACTTTGCTCTTGTAAATATTTTTTTGAGTCTTGAGGAGAACAAAAAACCATTAAAAGAAGCTATAAAGGACTTTAATAATAAGAAATAAGAACCAATTAGATTATTATTTGTATTTTGATATGATAGATAACAAAAACAAAGGAACATTGAGGAATAAAAAAATACTTAATCCTCCGATTGATAAACTATTTTTGTTTGTTTAAATATAGTATGATTAATAATGAGTATAATTTAATTGTATAAAGTTAGTTGCATGTGTTACAAGACACGATTGGGGTGGTCAGTAAATCAAAACTATATGTAGTTATTTAACTATTTTAACTTTTAACTTTGTTAATCTTTTTTGATCATCAGCATAATATTTAGTTGATACAGTAGTTTGTATTTTTTAGCCCAACTTCTTACTCTAAAAATTAGTTTTTATTGAGCTATGTCTACATTAAACTAGCGAATTTTCTAGTATTTTAGATCTATATATCAAGGTTTATTTTTTTCGTACCAAACGACCAAACACAGGTACTTCGTAACTTTGTTTATAAGGCCGTATTAATGATTTCAATATAATTTATTTCTGTACATCTAATTTAAAAAATTTGGTATAAATCATATAAACGTCGATTCCGGCGAATAGAGTATATCTTGTCGTCTGCTGTCAATGAAGAGGTGTCTATTGATGAAGAATAGACCTGAAAAGTGAAAACACATTCAAAAATGAAATTATCATTAAAGCAATCTATAATAAGACCTACAAAAAAATTGACATGCAAACGTGATATTTTATATGGACGTACGATCACAAATCTTCCGGGGGAATTAATGATAAGCCGACTAAACTTTTCGACATTAATCACAAATCTTCCGGGGATTTAATAATAAGCCGGCTAAACTTCTCGATATTCATCACAAATCTTCCGGGGATTTAAGACTAAACTTCTCGATATTCATTGTTTGCAATTCCTACGTTACTTCAAAATAGCAGATCACTCCAAATTTTGCGTGACAAAGAATAAGCTTCTGGCGCAGTGCAATGCCAGCCCCCTTGATTAGAATTGAATTTATCAGTATCATCAGTCCCTATAGTGACGACATTAGTTTGCGTGGCATAAAAAGGCTTATCAAACATTATATAATTTTGCAAATTTATTGTCGATCATGGCAACGAGGAAACTTCCACTTAAAGACAACAATTCGGATCTGATGTTACTTCGAATCTTTTTAATACTCAATTATTACTGTATATAAATATAACTGTATCACTGGATCATATAGTACCACATATGACACCCAAAGGCACGTGAAGATTTAAACTAATGACGTCTAATCGACGTTATTAAAACATTTTTATTTTGCTCAGATAAATTAGCTAATGATGATGATATAATAAACTTTTTAAATATTATGACACTGTCACGAACGTGGTTATCTATTTTAAATTATGATTATAATTATAATGACAATAATAATTATAATATATTATTATTATATTACATTTTTTAGATTAATTAAAAAATAAACTTTTGGTGATGCAAATACAAAGTATATCTTCCAAATTGATGGAAGTAATGAAAAATGAAGTTTTTTTTTTTTGCCAGCAATTTTTTTTACAAATGATGATTTTTTTTTTTAAAAAAAAAGAAAGAAACCCAATTCCCTTTCCCCTCCAAAAAATAAATTTCAATGATTAGTTCAACATTTTCTTTCGGTTGTCGTGATTATCATTAGTCAAGTTATCACTATTGTGAGTGATAACTTCTACTTTGTGATTGTCCTTTACTACAGATCTAAGTTTTGCCTGGTTAACGAGATACCTCTGAAAGACCAATGAATTATACGTATTTGCTTTATAAAAGCAATCAATGATATCACCTATGATAGGAACAAATCCAACCTAAAAAGGTTAAAAGAAGTATAAGAGGTAAGTCATCAGTTAAAAAAAAAAGATTACAAAATCAAGTCTTAAATAAATAAATCATACTTAGTTACTTACAATAGCATCTTTAATTATCATTATGGTCATCTCCCTAAGCATGATTGGAATTTTATGATTTTCCACCAAATTACTATTTTTCATATGATTGACTAACCAAAATGATAGACCAATACCAGCGAAATCACCAATGACAGGTAAAAATCCTAAAAAAACAAATAAAATATAAATTTAATATACATTAAATTAATTCTTATATATATTATATTAATTATATTAATTATATTTATTTACTTACCAACAAGGGGATCCAAACCTACACAACAACCACAACAACAACTTTCATCTAACTTGAATGCTCTTTTTTTAACTCCTATCAAAAATTTCTTTTCTTCGTTATTTAAAGATGCAGGAATTTTCCACTTATTTCTTTTCGTTCTTCCGTCTATAGTTATGAACGGAGGAATATCATCATCATCTTGTTGTGAACGATTGAAATTAAATAACCAACCCATTTGTTATTATTATTATTATTATTATTATTATTATTTGGTATTTTGGATATATTTTACGAGTAATTTTTTTTGAATGTTTTGATAAAAAAAGTATTTTTTGGTTTGAAAATTTTTTTTTTTGAAAATGGAAATTTAAGGGAATTTAGGTTATTTTTATATAAAAAAATAACTAATAACTTTTTTTTTTAGAAATCAAGTTTTTTTTTTCAAAGAAAATAAAAAAGACTTTATAACTACTGAATTTAAATAAATGATGCAACCATATGACGCACATGTGATAAAGTGACACAGACCAGGAAAAGTCAATCGTTCACAATGCAATATGCAAAATTTCATTGTAATGATATAATAACGCTGAAACAAGGTAATCATCACATAGCCAAGTAAAAGGGCTGAACCTTAAACGCCAAAAGAATTTTAAGTGTTTGACTAAAACTAATCCATTTTTTACCAAAATTACGAGGTGTGTGATATTTAAACAATACGGTGATGATTATATTTTGTAATAATTAATAAACAAAGAAAAAATAATGTTGTAATTGTGATTTAAAAAAAACCTGAAAAAAAAGGGATAAATAGTAGATTTTTCCTATTTTTGTTTATGAAAAGGGTAAACAAATTTTTACATGATAATTACCGAAACAAAGTATTATTCTTTTTTGTTTCGAAAATTCGATATTTCTATTTTTATAATCCAAATAAATCAAGTTTAAAAGTAAATTAAATGTATTGTAACAATTATTTTTCTTGTTATTATTTCCTTTTTTCTTTTTTTTATTTTCTTTTTTGTTCTCTTGTTTTCTAATTCTTTTACTTTTGGAAAAAAAATTAATTGTTTCAGTTCTTTGTAAATGTTTAATTACTTATTATTACTTATTTACCGTAAATTACCGTAAATGTAATTTTATACTTTAAAAATTTTTTTTATTTTTTATTTTTTTTTAGCGTGAAACGTAAAATCTCTTAAGAATATGAATTTTCTGGTTTATTATATATAATTATGGTAATTTAATTATTTCCAATTTTTTTCATCCCTTACAAATCTTACAAAACTTTTACAATTACCTTTTTTTTAGTATTATTTTTCCCAGACGTCTTAAATTATCTTAAAACGTATAGGAAATTACGCCCCTTTCTAAAACTTTATCTTAATTAATACATAAAAAGGAAATGTTTAGCTATTAAAGGATTTATTTCGATTTTGCAAATCCCAAAAATATTTATGCATAAAAAAAAAGATATATATATATACCTATAATCCTATATGTATATATGTAAACAAAGTTGCCCGCGAAAAAAATATCCAGTATGAGTAAGTGTGTATGAGTGAGTGTATGAATGGTGTATGACTAAAAAAATTAAAATTTATTATTTACAGGATTCAAAGCCGCACTGCACTGCCGCAGTGTCGTTTGTGGCTTTAAAAAAGCGCAGTATAAATAGTAAGACGCAGCATAAATAGGCGAACCGCAGCATAAGTAGAAGTGTTTTAAACCACATAGTAGTTAAGCCACATCCCAACTTGTTGAGGCGGAAAATTCCGGGAAAATGGAAGAATAATTTTATTGCGGGTTTTAAAATCGGTAAATCGGTTAAATGGGTTTAATTCGGTGTTAAAGGTTTTGATTCAGTGCTAAATAGGTCTAATTCGGTTGAATCGGTTAAATCCGTAAATCCGACTTCAAATATCCGATACGGGCATACATAACGGATTAGCAAGGGAAAATTTGATAAACAAACAATCTTTCTTTTTAACAATCATTTGTTAAAATAATATTATATATGTATAAATGTATAACCCCCCCCCCTTTTCTTCTTACTTTTTAGATAACCAAATAAATCATAAAAGTTCTTCCTCTTTATGGAAAGATTTTATTAAACGAAAATCGTTATTTATAATTATTCAAAAACTTTAAAAATAACATAATAATAATAATGTGGTACGAGAATTTTGATTTTCTACATGAATTTCCTTCTTGGTTAAACTTGTTAATCACCCTTATTCAAATAATAAACGATTAAAATGATACACAAGAATAAAAAACATACAAACAAAAAAAAATTGTTACTTATCTTATTGGTTCACGATATACGTTACACGTGACTATATTTATTAAAAACGCGCATATTAAATGCGATCAAAATACGAATTAAAATTAAAATAAGAATAAAATTTTTTACTCTATATATAAAAAATTGAAATAAGAATTTTACTGAGAATATCAAAACCATACTTTTTTTTTTTTAAAAAAAAAAAAAA